TCTGTCCCAGCCAGAACCAGGACAGTCAACGAAGAGAAATTGGTAGTGCAAGGACACAGTCTGTTTCCTCCCAAGAAAGACACCTGAAAAGACAGAAAAAGCATGTGTGAGACACACCTACTTCTGTCCATTGACTAAAATAGGAATCCATATGGGTTGACTCATGTCACCTTTGTAGACTCCTAAAATTAGGCAAAATAAATCCCATTTGCAACACCTGAACCCCCCTCCCAGTGCTAAAGGAATGGGAGAGACAGGGGGATGATTCAGTTTTCATCTCTTTCATTAGCTGAACCTCCTGGGACCACAGTGGGATTTTGACTGAATAAGAATGTCTCAAACATCCCCAGTCCCTACCGATCTTGTCATCACAGGCCAACAGTGATGTTCTGTGGGAACAGAAACGGGGTGTTGGTTTTCCTTTTCCAGGCCAGAACTGTGTACTCTGCCCTGCAAACTGGAAGTGGGAAGGTGGCGATACGTGTTACTACCACGCCGAGGAAAAGCAGTCGTGGGAACAGAGTCACTGGTTTTGTTCCTCACAAAACTCTACTCTTCTTCTGATAAAAGAGTCAGCAAAGCTGGTATGGGCTGGTTTCTCACTCTGTTTAGCATGGAGGAAGTTCATGCACCCTTTCAGCTGCTCAATTCACATGTAATTTTCTTAAGTGGCACTGTGAGCAGGCGTTTTTCTACAGTGATCAGGTTGTCCTGGGCAGTGCTAAGGCATAGGGCTGGTCATCACCACACAACGTGCTGCCCTTCGCGTGGCTGGCAGTTCGAGACAGCCCATCTTGCCATGGCTTGCCATTACTGGGATCACTGGTGAAAGCAGGATCATGGCTATTTTGTGTGGGCAATGGTTTCACTAATTTAACAAGTATTAAGGATCCATACAAAGATTTGGTAAGACATTAGTGTGAAAATCTCTTTTAACCTGGTCTCCTCATAGGCAAACCATAGTCCGCCCCATTTTGTGGAAGTTCCTTCCACAATAATTGATCTCATCTTTTAAATAAAAATTAAAACACTTGGCAGCGAGTTGCTGAAATCTGGCCTAATCTTTTAGTAATTGAAAACAAACTGAGGTGGGAAGAGAAAATACCAGGTGTAGAGTGAAATAATGCTTTTGCCTCTGGATGCCAGCAGATGTATTGGAAGACCGAAGGCAGAAAAGGTGTCCCAGAGCTAGCAGTCAGGGCTGGGGCTGTCTGCTCGCCAGCGCTTGACAAATACCAGTTCCCCTCTCACAGAGCTGCAGGCCATAAGGTTTCTCCCAGACGGAAACGGGAGCAGCTTTATTCTCACCCTCCCAAACTGGTGACAGCAAAGATTGCGAGGTGCAGTCTGTTCTAGCTGTCTTAATCACAGCATTGAGAGGTATGAGGAAAAAGAGAAAATGGAGGCGTGCACTGGAAGTGACAATGATAATTGAAGGAAGGAGGAGAACAACAGAAAAAATTGAATTCAAATCTTCAGAGAATTCCCTCAAGCAGCAGTGAGAAAGGCAGCATTATTTAAGTTTACATTCTCACCTGTTCTGCTCAGAGCATTTTTTAAGAACAGAATATCACTAAATGCTTAACTTTAAGACCTCCTCTGCTTGTCATGGTCCAGCTTTTGGGAATAAGTAAACGATGTTAAAACCAAGTGTGAAGGTTCAACAAATCAAACCCAACAGCTCCCTGCAGAGGCTTCCTTTTCGCTGTTGAAAACGCTAAAGACAGGGTAAAGGGGGAGGAATGATTCATGACGAAAGGGGGGAGAACAATCCAGTGTTTCACCCAGAGGGTTTAAATCAGGTTGATAAGGGTGACGTTGCTCTTCAGAGCTATAAATGTATCTTCTCTCTGATTAAAAACAGCTCTACTATCATTTCTTCTTTGATACTAGGCTATTCCTCTAAGAGCAGAACTTGTCCTGACAGGTTAACAATTCGTGGTATTTATGTTCTTTAAGCAATTTCCATCTACGCTTTCAACTTCTGAGCCCAAATATTTATTTTTAATATCTTCTTGAATATCTGTTTTGAATTGTGCTTACCCTGCATAGGAACTGGTAAAAAAATTTCCTAGAAAAGTATACTGGCTTGGATTAACATTTAGAGCTGAAAAGAGAGACTGGTATTGGTCAGACAACACAGCTTTTACAGAAGAACAAAACTCTCGGTAAGTGGGCAGCTTTCCTGCAGTATATAAAATTAATCGTCACCCATATGCAACTCCCAGTTCCTCTGACACAAAGGGAACATTGAACAGCCAACTTTTATGCAGCTTTCTCTGTACCCTGGGTCTCCCTTTTCCATTTCAGGTTTTTCTTGTTCTCACCCAGGACTGCTTGGAGGGTGATCTAGGCACTATTACTGGGAAAAAAAAGTACCCTGAAAGTTTATTTCCAAAATTTAGTTTCAGATTGATCATAAATGTCATATGTTTCTCTTGTGTTTGACATCTTGTTTTAGTGAGGACACATGGAAAAAACTCCAATGGAAAGGTGTTTCATTTAATGCTTTTGATTTTATACTTTTTTATTTTTATATAAGACACTCACTCTCTAGAATAATTTTACTTTGGTTTAACATGTTACTTCAGAAATACGATATATTTTTCTTCTTGCTTTCAAACCTGCTTTGCCATTTTTCCTTTTCATTATTGGGCAGTCTCCTCTTAACATTTCTGTTGAAACACCCACTGACACCCTCCAGTCGGTACCCAGGAGTTAGCATTTCTTACTGTCAGGTACAAGAAATAGTTTAGGATCCACCCTTAGAGTCCGCTGGGCGTGCTTGTTGGCATGTTCAGGACAAGGCCAGCTTCGTAGGAGTTGGTGCACGATGTCACTAAATGCTTTATTTCTTTGTTGGGCTATATATTCTTCATGAAAGCCACATAAGTAATTCTTGCAAAGGCGGCTCTTTTTGGAAGGGGCAAGGATGCACCATTTGAATGAGGTGAGATGTAACAATGAAGATTTTTCTTTCCTAGGGTAAAGCATATAAACTCCCTCCGACACTGTGGATATTTTTATTATAATGTCATATATAGCCTACCATGTACAGAAGAGAATTACTATATCTGTGAAAAGCCCGCCATCCAATTACAGCGAGGTAACAACCATTGGCAGGAGGACTGGTTTGTCAGACCAAAATGATTATGAGAAGCTAGAAGATGTTCTGCAAGGTTGGAATTTATTGTTTTGTTTTTCAGAACTATCACATGAGAATTTAAATATGTGGGATTGGACCTATTACATTTCCCTGTTTTCATTCTCTTTTAGACATATGTGACAATATCTTCATACTAAGGAAATGGGCATGGTGATGGGCTCCAGGAGTGACCCAAATCTGTCATTCCAGATCCAAAACTGCCAAATGATTACTCTGTTTTAACCAGCACAAGTGATGGACAAAATGGCCAAAAGTGATGGCCAGGAACAAAAGCACAGTAACCAGGCAAGCATGTAAAGATACTATTCCTCTCCCAGCAGCCATTGATACAGCCCTAATAGCACTTGTCAATTCATAACTGTACAGCTGTAACATAACACAAGTGATGAGGATTAAACACTTCCATTCAGGAGACGCTTCTGATATCTTGTTGATCTGACTGCTTTAATACACTAGTAGGCTGGAGTATACAACACACAAACAGAATTATCCTCAGAAGGTGGGCCAAGGTGTTCCCAAACTGTATTAATAATCATATTTGCTCTGGAGCACAAGGATTCACAGTCCTCATAAGGACTTGTGCATGTGTCACAGGATAAGATAACCTTCAGCTATGAATGTCTAGCTCTCTTCCATACTCTATAATTCTTCCTGGCACTGTTAGTTCTCTTTTTTCTTTTTTTCTTTCTTTTTTTTTTTTTTTTCCTTAGTAATAATTCTGCTCTTCTTTTCTACTTTTCTAATTTTCTACTTTTTTGATCTATTGCAAGAATTACGCTAGGGTTCAGTCAGAGGCGTGAACAGAATCTCCTTTTATGTTTTTTAGGATATTTCCTGAATGCCATACTACTGACTTATTGTGCTGAGCAACGGTCTACAAACCCAACCATAGTGAAAATATACCAAGCAGTGTTAATGAACAAAATGTCTGCCTCCGCATCTCCATAGAAAATGACAGTCAGGTTGAACTAAGAAATCTCAGTCCCATAACAGTGTTTTGATTTGAGCAAAAAGTCCACAAATTCCTAGCTTGGTCCCCTCTGGAGACTTGTGTATTCCTTGTGGATTGCATCCCAGATTATTTATTGTGGATCATTTACCACTGGTGTAGCAGCTGGGCTGCTAAAGCATTAGTCATGCCCTTCAAGGGGCTGTTCTAGTATCTCACTGATCTCAGCACCACATAGCAGTTTCTGATCACCAACATGAACATTTCGGGTGTTATTTTCAAATACCAATTTCACCCTCCAGAAACCTTAGTGGATTTCTCTTCCTCTCTGCTGTTTACACTCAGCACTCGCACCTCTAATGTATCCTTTCCTAGCTGCTCCTCTCAATTTTTCTCCTAGCTGTTCCTGTCTTTGGGGGTGAAAATGCGGAGTGCTTCTCTCCTGCAGTGCGGACACAGCCCTGGTGACTTCCCAGAGTGTCTCTCAGTGTTCACACCAGCTACACTGAAATAAGAAATCTCATATGGAAGGTATCCTGAATGTATTCATGGCACATCCTTTCTTGATAATGAAGGGCTTTGCTGTAATTTGTCAGAAAAATTAAAAAAAAAAACCAGTTCTGATCTTGTTTTCTTTCACATTAGAGTGACTGTGAGGAAACAGGAAAGATATTTCCAGGATGTTTTTTCATCAATAAGGCATGCCTAAGAGCAAAGGGGCAAATCCTAGGTGTTTCTGCAGTTTGTTGAAGACAAATGTGAGCTGAGATTGACAGCTCCTCACACTGACAGGCAGCCACAAGGCTACACCATATCTTGCTGTGGCCTTGATCTTTTGGGTCAATTTACTGTTGGCCCAAAAGCAGTCTCTGGTGCAGCAACTGTATTTGTAACTGCAAAGGCAGGTGGGGTTAGAGTACGGTTTCACAGTGTGCCATGCTACTGAAACAGAAGGAGCTAGCTTTTTCTACTCAAAAAACAATGACTGAAAACACCAAAAAAAAAGAGAAAGAAAAAATCACCCCAGAGAAGAAAGAGAGGAGGCAGGCAATGTTTACCATTCACTGAAAGCATTCGGAGTGCTGCAGCAAACAACCTTGTCCAGCAAGGTTGAAACTGGCAAAGGACATACCCTGGTGGTGGCGTAACCAGGTAGGGCTTAAGGATGCACTGTCTGACTCTATCCCCTTTCCCATTGAAAGGAGCTTTTCCTTACAGGGGAAAAGACATAGAAATGTACCGTTTGTGTATTGGCTGAGACGGCATTTTTGAATCACAGTTCCATACAACAGTGTGTTTCCCATGTCTAAAATCCACTCCTCCCCGCGTCCCCCCCAGTCATTAACTCTAGCTAATGCAATTTGCAAGGTCACGTTCTGGTTAATAAAGACAGATGTTTTGTTCAGCCTGCTGATAACATTTATACACGGGCTGCATTCAAATGCAGACCCAAACTTCCTGCCTTAGTTTACCTTTCTTTTCGTCTTAGTCTGAAAAAAACAAGAAATTTTGCCTGCCCTGGATCCTTACAAGAACAGAGACCGTGATGGTGAAGCTCCATCTTAACGCTTTTGTTACTTGATGTAGTGGATATAGTTTGTTAAGATTTGTCGTTTAAAAGTTAAGTAACTAACAGGTGTTGTGTTTGTAGGTATGTAGATAAATTGTGTATCTTGGAAATATTGTCAGGCTCCAGTGAGCAGTAACCACGGAAACGGAACAACCTTATAAGGAAGGAAAGGAACAGTAAAGAGACATGAGATTCTTTGGTTCAAATGATGTAGATGGGTTAGGAATGCTTCATGAATAGATAGGCCGGACATTCAATAGATAAAAGAGCCTTGAAACTTTGTACTTTACATTAATTAGATAGAGAAGCTAACCTTGTAGGCTTGATAGGGAAGGTATACTGGAACAAGCTAGCTTGTTACAAGTGAAAAACATGTAAACCAAGCCAAGGCACAAACGGAGCATGCGTGAAGACTGAGTTCAACCAGAGGGCACTGTGATGAAGACTATCGACGACCACCAGAAGACCCCGAAAGACCACCAAAGAGCACAAGGGCGCATGCGTCGGGGACATTTGCATATGTTAATGAATTCCGGGAAATAACATGAATATTTAGATTATTTCTCAGAAATGTAATGAATACGTATACTCTAATTGCATTTAACCCCTATGGTTACGTGATTTAGCACGCACACTAGGTGCAGCGATCCCCTGTGCGTCCAGCGCTGCAATAAAGAATACCTGCTTTCTAAAACTCTAAATTGAGTCTTAGAGAGTTTTTCGGAGACTTCTTCGTTTCAGTTTCCCCGAAGGAGATTCATTACATGCTTGAGAAGTTGTTGCTAAGACTGAAGAGGTTACTGTCATGAAAACCTGCAAATTCAGTAGCATAGGCACACTTGACTCCCAGCTTTCTGCAGAAAAGGTCTTTTCACACTAAGGTGCCAACATACAGTTTTCAGGCCCAATAGGCAAGGATTTTTGTACCATATTTAGCATGAGTTTTTTATGAGGATATTATGGATACACCACAAATACACAGTGAATGCTACTCCTTGTGTGCCTGTCTGTGTAACAAAACTGACTGTAAGCAGCCTTTACTCCCAACTTCTCCCTCATGCCTTCTCTTTGCAAACGGGTAAAATATAATGCAAGAAATTCATGCAGCCAGAGATACTTCTGGTCTGAAAAAATCTATCAGCTGCACAGCAAGGCAGGAAGAACAGTGCAGTCATTACAGTGTATTTCCAGTCTGTTGATATTATTTTGCAAATGGGAGACACTGAACGTTACACACAAGAGCAGGAACAGCTACCACAGAACTTCCTCTCTTGCAATTTCCTTCTGACTCACCCTGTCACCACGACGTGACCCATCACGTCTGGGCAAGTGCTCTGTTAAGGAGAGTTGGTCACTGAAGATGTTTAAGAACTACAGCTCAGCACTGGAACAAGGCACTGCAAAGAGCTAGAGATGGAGAGTGAGGATGGATAAGCCACTTCTGCACAGTGACTTCTGCATACAGGGCAATAGCAGAGAGGTCTGCAGTGTAGTCTGGTCTTTCTCTAACTGAGCTGAGCGGTCACGTGAATCCTGCCAAGCTCCTGGCCTCACCATCCTTTCAGCTCAGCTTTTCCCCTTCTAGCATTTATTTCAATGAATTTTTGTAAATTAATTTCATTTTCATTTATTTCATAACAGTGTATGGAAATGCAGCCTAATTGCTTTCAGTGCAGCTGATGTGTTGTATTTGTGCCCTGATACATGAACAGATATCTTTCATACCTTAACACAAAATAGCAACTATTTCTAGAGCATCTTATTTTAAGGAGGTAGAAAATCTTGATGTTTGCTGTATTTACAGGGTCAGATCAGGTGGACAGTTAAATGAAAGAGTCTTAGTTTCCAGCCAGGAACCAAGACTCCCGATCTTCACATTCAGGAAGAAAACACCCATCCTTGACAGTGCCACTTTAACTCCTTAACATGCTTTCAATATACTACACTTTTACTATGATACAGTAATCAGAACAGAGCCAGCTTCCTCCGTGGTTTCACTGGAAATGCTGAAACGTGAACCATTCCCATTGCCTCAGCATTGGTCTCGCTGCAGTGTGCCCCTACTCCCAAAGTACTGCTATTGCAGGAAAGAAGTGTGACAAGCTGGAGATGGAGGATGAGGAAGGCTACACTGCTTTAAATTTACGACCCTCAGCTTCAGTTATTACTCCTGGATATTCGAGCAGCAACAAATGTTCTGCATTTAAGGCTCCAGCCAGTTGTGTTACAGTAGACAGTAAGTACAGATGGAAATTAGCTTTTCTCTCTAAAAGGGCGTAGCTTAAATTTGTATGTTCATGTTGATTGCTTTAGAATCTTTCTAAACTTTCTAGTGTATTCTTAGATAAATGTTCATAGAAATAGCAGAAAGAATAATCCTAATGGAGTCTTGTGTGCTATTGTTTATGATCACAGATGATATTTTTTCTGAAGCCTATCTTTACTCCAATTATTTTTTCCATTTA